GGTTGGACGTCTCGGTTGCGTTGAGGAGGGCGTTCGTCGTCGCCGAGAGGGCGGACAGGGCGAGGCCGAGGCCTGCGCGGCGGAAAGTGGAGGGCCGCATCTCGTGAGTGTGTGTCTGTGTTCACACGACGGTTTGACGGAGAAGGAAGGGGACGGCTCGACTCGTCGGACGTCGGGTGTCTACCAGACTTCGAGAGCCGGTGGGAGCGGCGAGCGTGAGGGCTTCGCTTATATACTGAAGATCACCCGCGCCTCTGGGAAAGGGTCTGCAAGTCTCTTGGCCCTCGGGCGACTCATCTCCGTGTTTTCATTTCCTGGGACCCAGGAGAGAGATTTCCCCCGCACCCCAGAGAGAGGAAGAGGTTGGGGAAAGCGGTAGAAACATGGGGGGGGGGGGGTGTTCGTCTGGTCTGTCTACGGATACCACCGCTTGTTGTCCTCGTGGATTGACAGACAGGGACGGCCATGCCTGCGTGGAGAAATGAGCTCTGCTCTCCCCGGAACGACGGGCAGATTGTGAAAAATCAACGGTGGTCATTCGCCAATTGGGTCATGGGTTGGTCCCTCTCTTGGACCGGCGAAGCGGGGACCCCGCCTCTTTGGAGATGAGCGTCCGGGGAACATTGCACAAGCGTTGGCTTCTCCGCACGCACACGAGCTGTTTGTTTTGGGGGCAGCTGGGGTTTCCCCGGGCCACTTCGGGGCATCACGCACCGAGCATGCCACACCATCCAGGCACCGCCATTTGGTTTTCCTCGTTTAGCCAAGCGCTAGCGAGTAAAGGAAAAAAAGCCAGATAGAGAGCGGTCTCTTGGGGGACATGCATCTTTTTTTGCGGTGTGGGGGGCATCCGTAATGTGACCTACCTACGTACCGTTGCAGTGCGTTGCCGTCTTGCCCGAGTCTTTGGGCTTTTGGCGTTGCGTCGGTGTAACATAGTATCGAAGGGCTGCGGGAGAATTTCCCACGTATGGGGACCGGGGGGGTTCGTTGGTAATGACGCGTTGGTTTGGGTTAACGTATTGCTGGGGATGCTTTTGATGTCATTAGATGATGTGAGCGGGTTTGCGGCGTTGGAGGGATTGAAGTTTTGGTGTGCGCGATTACCATGAGCACAACAAAAAGAGCGCAAGAGCCGACGAAGTCTGTTGGCGCCTTCCTGTTGAGACGATTCGAGGGCACTGTTGCCAGGCGGGTATCTCGACAATGTTGCAAGCTGGGTAAGTTCGCGAGAGATGGAGTTTGACCTGGTTGACCGGTTGACGCAACTTCACGATTCTCGGAATGGAAACTGGGTCTTCGGAGACATAGCCGTTAGATGAAACCCAAACACATAGCGCCGTATATATATTTCTTCCACTGCCGTCAATACTATTGAGAAGAAACCTCGTTGGCGGGTTGTCCTCTTGAGCCTCTCTTTCCCCAAAATATGGAAATCCCCAGCTGATGTCCTGTGTCTGAACCGAATCACGAGAGCACTGTTTCTGCACACGGATAGATTTGATTCATAATTCTATCTCAGCCTTCTGCTACGCTTTATCAGCCTACTTAGCACAGTTGGCGTTTCCACCACGTCCAAGAAGCTTCTGTCGTTTCAAACTGTCCAATTCACTGCGTTTAGCCCAATGGGAGTAATAGTGCATGCCTAAGGATCAACACGGCGATGTCGACATTTCCCATCAAGGTATCCAAGACGAGGAGTCGCAGGTACGTCTGAAGGTTTGTGAGGGGGTGCCAAACCGAGTGGAAAACCAGTCGGCAACGGACGCAGACACAGCCTCATCTTCTTTCATAAATCAGTTCACCACCGCCTTGAAGAGTCCTAAGACGAGCTGCAAGGTGTCGAACGAACGTGAAGATGGAGTATGTTTATTAAATGACCCGTTGCATGAACAGGCAACATGTTATACAAGCTGAGGTCAGGGGCCGAAGCAGAAGTTGTGATTGTGCGGCTTCAACATGTCTGACGCCAACGGCCCGTACCCGTCTGATCCCGGCTTCTCACTCTCCAGAATATCCGAGAAAACATCTCGTGCCTGTGCACACAATGTTGGTATGTTGCTCAACAGCCCCTGGGCCATATGTGTCCAATCCGCGACACCCGAGAGCTTGAGCCGCAGAGTCTGCCAGAACAGTTAACCAGGTCAGCAGCTATAAACACACAGAAATCCCAAATTACAAGACACAACTTTGGAGAACTCACCTCAAGCTGCTCCTTCACGTTCTCGTCTTCGTCCAGAGGCCTCGTGAGCCTGATGGTGCGTTGCGTGTGCACGGCGTACTTTGCAATCTTGAAGAACTTGGAGCAGCCGTCCAACACGTTCCGGACGTCGCAGCCTTCTTCCCGGAGCCCTGCGAGGAACTGCACGAATTGGCCAAGGACCCTGACGTTGGCGTGCGCGTCTGCGCCCGTGGAGTCTTCGAGGGCGGACCAGAGGAGGATCAGGCACGATGCGACGGGGTAGCAAATCATAGCCCTTGAGGTATTGATATTAGTTGACCAGCATAAAAGAACGGCCGTCATGGTCCAAGATAACACTTACCATAGGTGCACAAATGAATGCGGAGGCGTCACCCGTAGAATCTCAACCGTAGCACGGGCAGCCGCTGTGCACTTTTCATACGCGTCTTGCACATTGGGATACGAACCCTGGCTGGCCTCCCAGCTGGGGTTCTGGCAGAGCGTCAGGCTGTGGCTCGACACGCTCTTGAGGCGGGCCAGGTTCGTGTGGATCTTGATCAAGGCGTCAAAGTAGTAAACGTGGAGAAGCACAACGTGAGTCTCGAGTTCCCTGTCATGCACGACTGCCGTGAGTTTGGGTCTCAAGTGTTCGGGAAACGAGTTCCTCCACGCTTCCAGCTCGGCGCTTAAACCCAGGACAGTAGCCTGGTGTTGTGGTCCAGCCTGGGCCTTGAAACTGTCGACGGAAAGCTGGTCGTGGATCTTGTACCGTATTCGCGACAGCTCTGCCAGCTTTCTGACGTAGCACTGCGTTTTCTCTGCGCAAGTTATGCCTATTGCGTGGTTGAAAGAGGCCAGGCCCTCGTCTGGGAGGTCTGCGTTCATCTGGCCTAGGTTGAAGGACGGCGAGATGCCGAACCGGACTGTCATTTCCGTGTCGACGATGAACGCGACCCAGCACGCGCGCCGATGCTGCCTCGACTGTGCAGCGTCTAGCTTGGTATACGCCTCTCTCCTGTGCAGACCCATCATCTGCGTCGTCCTAGCAGCGGAAGAGGCCACCTGCAAAGTGGTTCTGGCGTCTGTCGTCCCCAAAAGGAACGTGGCCATGGTCAGCATCGCTTCAACCGTCGACACGCCCCCTCCGGAGATGAGCAGCTCCGGGAAGACGGAGAAGGCGTTCTTGAAGTAGCCCCAGCTCATGGGCGACATGTCCTCGAAGGAATCGTTCGCCGTCCTCCACTGGACCGCCGTGGCGAACAGGGCGTTGATGATGGCCCACCGGGCGGGATCGTCGATGGCCGTCTTCTCGCGGGCGCCGCCTGTGTACTGCTGTTCGGCGAGCTCCAGGAAATGCTTGCGGGTGATGGTCGGACAGAACAGTTGGATGTCCTCGATGACGGCTTGCTCTAGGTCGAGGAGGTACTCTGGAGGAGGGAAGCTCGTGAACGCTCTCCTCTTGAAAGGGGAGTGGTCCATGCGTGATTCCATGTCACTCCTGATGGCGCGCATCGTGGATAGCAGCTGGGGTCCCGAGAAGAGATCTCGCAATGGCGGGAAGCGAGAAGGCAGGCTGCTTGCTGGGAGAGGGTCCCGGGACGAATTGGCAACGTCATCATGCGCAGGTATGTCTGCGTTCTTGGCTGTATCGTCAAGATTTGCTGTCACAGGTGGTGGATTGGCTTCATGGGGATTAGTAGAATATTTCTGGACAGCCCATGTGTGAGTGCACCAACCTTCTGAAGGAAGTTGAGTCCGGCCAGGACCACTGCTAGATGCTCCTCCGTCGGTGACATGCAGTTGCGCCATCCGCTCCAGCGATGTCTCTATGGCTCTCAGCTTTGCTTCCGCATCAACAGCGGGTTTATTTCTCCACAGAAAGTCAGCGTCTGGCTCTTTACGCAGGGTATTGGCTAACGGACTTCTTCCCAGGACCGCGGCGTCTTCGTTGTGTGTAGACACACTGTACACCAAGCCTGGTGCAGAGCCCGCACGTCGGCTCGCCGCCATCGCATCTTCTCTTGCGTGATTGACAGTGTAGGCATGCCTGTGGCCGCGTTTAGAGACCCTCCAACAAATGCATCCGCCCGGGCTTACACTTACACTGTAGATCCGCTTCTTAGGGGGCTCCTCCGCATCCTCAACGGCGGCGCCATCATCCGCTGCGCTAGCCATATTCGTACGGTCAGCGGAATCGACACAGATGCAAAGATTGCAGCAAAGGATCCGCGAGTTTGGATGAAAAGAGTCCGCTGAGGTCAGTCGTGGGAGGCAAGCGGCTATGTAAGTGGTGAGCGGGAGCAAATTTAGTAAGCAATCTGCATCCGCCCAGCTTACCCCAGCCCGCCGTCCCGCCCATGTCAACGCCGGAAACGGCTTAGATCTCTGACGTTCATTGGTCGGCGGGATCAAAAGCCAGGCGGGCGGAATCAAATCCCCGCCAGCTTCACATGGGGCCCCTTGTCTCCTCCAGCGCAGAATGTCTCCTCCTCGGGTTTGCTGCGATGGCGCGATGGGCGGGAGCAAAAGTCAGTCGAACTCTTTCCTGGGATGGCACTAAACACCACGGGATTCGGAATCCCTGAGCATGAACTTGTAGAAGCTGGGCTGAATAATATTGCAGAATGTCGAAGCCCTCAAAGTCCCACTCCATGAATGGGAGGCGTACTTACAGAATCATTCGGATGGTATAATACGGGACTGTCAACCCAGGAAACAACGAATGGATCATCACCATCTCTCACTTCATCATCCCAGCAGCCAGCATCAAATCACACTTTTATCACTTTCATCACTTCAGTGATCGTCAACCGTCAAGATGAGCACCTACCAGAACGTTGCCCTCCTCGGTGTAAGTCACCGTGGTCTGAATCCAAATATACGCACATCGCCTAACATGCATCTCTACACAGAAAGGATTTCTCGGATCCGCAATTCTCACGGAGCTCGTCAACGCCGGACTCACAGTCACCGTCCTCGGCCGCTCCGAGTCCGCCAAGGAAGGTCTTCCCTCGGGCGTCAAATTCGCGACGGTAGACTACTCTTCCGTCGACGACCTCGCCGCCGCCCTCCGCGGCCAGGACGCAGTCGTCTCCACCGTCAGCAAAGGCGGTCTCCTCACGCAGAACACAGTTATCGACGCCAGCATCAAGGCCGGCGTGAAGCGCTACATCCCCTCGGACTGGGGCACCTTCACCACCGACCCCAAGGCCCAGCGCGAGCTCGTCCCCGTGCTGGGCCCCATGCTCGACGTCCAGAAGTACCTCGCCGAGAAGGCCCGCACCGGTGAGATCGAGCACACCATCTTCTCCGTCGGGGCGTTCCTCGACTTCCTGACCACGGTCCCCGTCGCGTTCGACTATGCGAGCAAGACCGTCGAGCTCTGGGACGGCGGCCGCCACCGTCTCAGCACCACCAGCGTCTCCTCCATCGGCAAGGCGGTGGCGGGTGCCCTAAAGAACCCCGGGGCGACCAAGAACCGTAACATCAAGGTCCACGAGCTGGTGGTGACCCAGCGGCAGCTGTACGAACTGGCCAAGAAGTACTCGCCGCCGGGCACTGAGTGGAAGGAGATTGAGCTGGAAGGAGAGGCCGCGTTCGGTGAGGCCCTGAATAGTGTGAAGGAGGACCCCTACAACGAGGGAAAAATCATGGGTGCCATCAAGGCTGGGGTCTTGAGTGGCCGCTACGAATCTGCGTATGAGCAAGTCGACAACGAACTCGTGGGTGTGCCTCTCCTGACTGAGGCGGATCTGGAGGCCAGGTTCGCGGCGGTTTACAAGTCCTGAACAGGCGTTGGATATTGGCCTATTCTTGGTTATGTAGCGCTCAAAGGGCATGGAGTCGGACTTTAGCACGCTGTAAATAACGTGCTTCAACAAGAGATATCATTGAAAAAACCAATAAACCGGCCCTGTCCGAATCAGAGTCTCTGTCCGTTTACAAAACAATACTCTTGTCAATCAGATCATTGCGGCTAAACGACAGAAGTATTACTACCTTCCGTTATAAAGCACCGTTTACACTTCTGTGGACGCATCCAGGGGCAGATAGGGGGCGAGCCACGATAACTTGAGAACACCACGGAGCAACGCATCCGGCCTCATGTCTGTCCAACAAAGTCCAAATCCAGGCCAGACTGGTCCTCGCTTTCACCCCATACAGGCCAAGACTGCTAAATTGCCATCTGCCCATCCATCACCGTCCACGAGGACACTCCAACAGCCTAAACCACCCGCTCGCCGCATCGGCAACCCAAGGATCCCGTCGGCATGCCGAGTACACTAGCACCACCCCATGCGCGGAAGTCTAGACCGCAAGTTTCGCGAACATGCGGAATCACACCCTCCACCTCCCATGGGAATGCCAAGGCCATGACGAGTTGCACCAAGCCGCGTAATCTGGATATACATGAAGACACCCTGTTCACCTGCAAAACGACTCTGATTCAGGAAAGCTAGCCCTGACATACAAGACCATCAACCGCTCCATGCCGTTTTTTTCGCCCCCGAGCATTTCACCGATCCAAGACTTGAGAATAGTTCCCAATAGCATTCCCCTCCGGTCTCAACGCCCGCTCTAGGTCCCCCTCATGCTCCAGGCGCATCTCGTCACATATCGGACAGGGCCAAATCTATACACACCCTGCGCGGATCCTCATGACGGAACCACCCGTTGGAAGAGAAGAATCGTACGCATGGAAAAAGAATACTCCCTTCCAAGGACTGCGACGGGCATGCTTACCTCGGCAACTCATCTTCAGCATCGCGGATGCCCTTCCGATGCGCCTTATCACACACAACCCCTCAAGATCTACGCGTCACCAATGGCATCTGACCAGGCCTGGACTCCTCCCGAGAGTCCATCTAACGCGCGAGACCCCTCTCGAGGAACCACTTTGTCTCCTCCTGACAGCTGCACTAATGTCTTGAAGAAAATTCAAGATTCGGAATCCCAGGCTTGAGCACCTGCACAATTGCCATTTTAGGAAACCAGTTCACTAGTCAGGGGAACTCGAACATGGCCATGATGCAAGCCCGTTTTGCATCAGAATCTTGAGTTTTACTTGCTTCTCCGTTTTTTGTCATTTTTTCCGCAATTCTTTTTTTATTATTTTCCACAGCTATTAGAAAAAAATAAAGAATCCATGGCCGTTAGGCACCAACACCATCTCCCTTGTTCAGGGGCTAGAGATCAGCAGCAGCTTGCGACAGCGAGAGCGAACCAATCGGATCCCACCTAGTTTCCCTTCTCGGAACAGCTCGCTCCTCCGGGGTACCCGCCGGACCGGGGGTGTCTGGTACGGGCGTTTATTCGGGGCGGAGCAGGCGGGGCCGCGCCGGTCCTCATTTACCGTTCCTTTCGCAAACCTTCAAGACACACCTGCATCTCTCTCGTGCCGCAGGTAAAATGGTTTCAAATCTCGTTTCTTCGCTTCACGTGTTGCCGGCTAGCCGCGGGACGACCCGCCACCAGCCCTCTGATCCTCAGCTGCCATCAACGGACAACGCCAGCAAACCAGCCCACCAAGCATTCTCCGCAATCGGCACCTCCGATTCCGATGCGGGGTCTTCTCTCCCGAAGCCCGGCGCAATCGCCGTCACCGTCACGCAATTGCAGCTCGCTATCTAGCCTATCTTGCAGTATTCAAATACCGATTGCCCGTCCTGCGATGCATTATCCCCGGGATGTGTTCCCGTTAAACCCGCCTAGGACCAAAAAAAAAGACTACCAAACTGATATCAAATCTATCGCTTGATTTAACCGAATATTCTACCCGGGCAGAATATAACCCGAGTAAACCAATCCGTCAGAGGCAGAATTCCTCCAGGATGCAACATTTTTAACGTGCAGTGTATGATTTGGCAGAGAAAGCATATCAAGCCCTCCCGTAGCTGATCATCGGGTTCCGTATCCGATCCCCTCCTCCAGCCAACATGAGAACCTTCAGGATCATCCCTGCTCCGCATTGCTCACGTCAAAAAAGCCAAACCCCAGGCATTGGATAAGCTTTGCCCGCTGCGTGAACCAAACCCCGATCGACGACTGACGACATATGCTGCCCCTCCAAACTCTCAACCAACCTCACACCGACATCACCGCCCAAAGTGCCATCTATCTGTGACTAGCTTTCAATCGCATATACCACACCATTCCATATCAATTCAATCGTAACCCGTAACGCCAACGGCACTCTCCTCCTCAATACTGTCTACACAATGGAGATCAAGGCCCTAAACGTCTACCCAATCAAAGCCCTCCGCCCGGTCCCCCTCACCTCCGCGATCCTCACCCCGCAAGGCATCCTCCACGACAGGACCTACATGCTCTTCAAAGTAAACGAGGACTCCTCTCTCCGGAAGCTCCAATTATCATCCTGTCCCCAAACAGCTCTCTTCTCCCAGGAGATCGTGTCCAGCACCGAAGCCTCCTCAGATACCGATGACGACACCGGCGACACAATCCTCGTGAAGTACCATATCCCCTCGCCGCCCCTCGTCCCCCACGACCCCCTCCAAGAAACAACCCTCTCCGTGCCCCTCGTCCCAGACACCGCGGCCCTCGCCCCGATCCAAATCGACCTCCACGGCTCCCCCGCCGACGCCCTCCGCATGGGCGATCCCTACGACGCTTTCTTCTCCGCCTGTCTCGGCTTCCCCACAATCCTGGTCCACATCGGCTCCGGACGCCGCCCCGTCCTCGGCACCCTCGCCCCGGGCTCTGCCTCCTCTCCTCAAACATCATCACCGTCGTCGTCCCTCTTCTCGTCCATCACATCTTACCTCCCCTCCTTCTCCTCCCCGTCCAGCGAGCAAAAGCCGTGGCTGACATTCACCGACTGCGCCCCGTACCTAATCACATCCTCCTCCTCTCTCACCCACCCATCCCTCACATCCTTCTCCTCCACCACCAACACCAACACCACCACCCCGTCGATAATGCCAAAAATGCGCCCCAACATCGTCGTCCACGACCCTTCCGAGCCCCCCTTCGCCGAAGACTTCTGGGCCGAGCTCTCCCTCCCCTCCTCCGGCGGCGCAAAGCTCCTCCTGACCGCGAACTGCGGCCGCTGCGCCTCCCTCAACGTCGACTACGCCACGGGTCGCCCCGCCGCCGGGCCCGAGGGCAAGCTCCTCAACGCGCTCATGAAGGAGCGCCGCGTCGACCCGGGCCACAAGTACGCGCCCGTCTTTGGCCGGTACGCCTTCCTAGACGTCGGCGGCGCAGACGCAGGGCCCGCCGCCGGGATCCGCGTCCGGGTCGGGGATGAAGTCGCGGTGACCCGCCGCAACGCCGAGCGCACCGTCTTTGACTGGCCGCTTGGCTCCGCCGCACCGAAGAGGACCAGCAACACCGTGGCGGTTGCGTGATATCGAAGAAGTAGCTGTGTACCTCTTCCCTTTCTCACTCACACTTGATGCGTCTTTGCTGCGTTTCACATGTACGTGTGTGTCACCCAGAAGCTCTCAGTAGACCCTTCACTTTGATGCCGTTGTATCGTCGGAACATGATAGGTAGATTTCCTTCCTCTCCATGCAGAGCAGAGTAGCATCCTAGATGGGGGTATGCTTCTTCCAGTGGGAAAAAGTAAGCATGTGAAAATAGACTAAGAAACAAGGGACGTTTCTGCCGTTGCATAGTGTTCGTTTTTTTCTCTTGTGTAACCACGGGTCGAGCATGTGTCTATGGTGTCATCTCCTGATTTACATGGTGATAGTGAAGCCACCAACATCAACATACCATGCAGCGCGCTATGAAGGGCATGCACATTTCAGCCGCATGATGACTGAAGTCCACTCTCCCCCCTCTCTGCGATCATCGTCTGCCTGCTCTCGTCACCGGCCGCTCCATTGCTCGCCGTATCATGCGCGCCGGTCCTTCACCCTTCACCAACACTGAACACCCTCCCTCAACTCTCAAAAGTGCAGCTGTCCAAACCCCTTCCTTCGTGAGAAAGAACCACTAGAAAGAAAACAATGTACCACTGACCGAGAAAAGACAACAACCACGATGCAGCTTGCGCCCGCCACCTCCTGCAGCAGCATCATCATCATCATCCCATAACAGCACATCCTCCTCCCAAATCTCACTTCCACCCCGTCAGCGTCATAAACACGCACACATCTCTCTGCCTCATTTCCCAACAAAAAAGCAAATAAAGCAGCCCTAAAAGGAGGCTCCTCGTGAGACCCGTCTTGAACCTGCACATCATCCACGTCGCGCCGCGTAACAGACCACCCATGTTCCCCGACCAAACAGATTTCCCTGATCGTCGGATGCGTGATAGGCGGCCGGGGAGGGGGCGTACATACACTCTCTCATGCAGCGGCCCGTCTACGACTACTTCCCCGAGGCGACACAAACGAAAGGAAAGGGCAAAAAAAAAAAAAAAAAAAAGCCACACATTATTTTCCATGATGCCAAAGACCTCTCTGTGCCTTCTCTCCCAACGGTCTGGACACACAGAATACAACACAAGCCTCTCTCCCGGTGTAAGCCTCATCTTCCCGCTCTGTTCTTCCATTCGCCAACCTCTCGCCAGCCCGCAGCAAGAGGAGGCGCATGATCGTGGCGAGCTGCAACGGACGCCCCCCTCTGTGCCGGATCGTGCTGAGAGACAGACGCCCACCACCACAAACCGCCGCCGCGGGACCTGACAGCGAAGGGAGTGAAGGGGAAAAATAGACCGAGACAAGGCGTGAGTTACACGGCATCGCCCTCGCGTAAATCCTCGCTCGGAGAGAATCGAAGAAGAAAAACGGGGAGGTGCTCCTTCCCGCCGCTGCCAGATGTCATGCCACGCTCTTGTGCTACCCAAACCCCGGATCTTCGTGTCACGGAACACACACACACACACACAGAAAGAATTCTTTCATTTGCAGCCTCAATCAGACCCTCGACGTCCACCTTGACCGGCCTTTACACCTGTCAAAAGTGACTGTTCGGTTTCGCAAAAGGGCCGAGGGCCCCCGGGTCAGTTGCACACCGCCGGACGTCAACGACGCGATACCGGCGCCGGGACACGGGACAGGAGTAACACCGAACTTCACCGGCGATACCATCCGCGCCTCGGGATGGCATGAGTTGAACGTGAGTAATCATGAGATGTCGCGCTTTGGAAATTGTTTGGCCCTTTGCGCTGTTTCATTTTGGACGCTGTTCCGTTCAGACCCACGACGCTACAAATGCTAAACCAACCGGACGCCATGCCGTGCCGCCCTCGTCACCGCGGATCCAATGTCAAACCGAGGCGCGAGGAGAAGGGGCCTGTGATATGAATGCTTCCTTCAGTGGAAAAGGGGGGTGGACAACGTGACAAATGACCAAGGACAACATGCGCGCGCAAAACGGTGAACGGTAAGAATACTGCAATGAGGGAGAGGGAAAAAGAAAGCTCAAAATTGACAGGTAACCGCCCTTCCAGCCCATCAGCCTTGCGTGCTGTTATGACTTGTTCTAAAGCCCAATTTTTTCTTCTGTTTGCCATGCTCCGTGAAACCGTTCCCTGTAAACCCAAAGTCTATTGTTAGAGGAAGAAACCCTTCCCGCCTTCGCTCGCCTCCTCGCTCCTGACCCCGCCAACTACTGATGAAAACTTGCCGGCAAACGACTGTGCGCCGTAGAGAAAAGGGGTATTGGGTATTACGTGGCCGAATAAAACTCCGTAAGGAAAAAAAAGAAGACGCTTGGCCGAGAGGAATTCGGCGGCGGCGACGGTAAGAAGACCGAGGAAAAAGACGAGAGCTGTGGAAGAGGTCTGCTCCCTGTTGATCTGTGCCTGTCGGTTCTAGGCTCCGTCCGGCGTTGTCGCATCGGGGAATACTGATGCGTATCCCGTGGAGGCGGCCCTGTCAGGCACAGAATTCGAGGGCATCATGGCACAGGGGCGTGGCGTTGACAGGCGGTCCCTGTGGGCGGGATGCGCTCCCCGCCGGAGCCCTGTGCCTGCAGCCAGCTGCAAAGGTGCCTGAGCCAGAGGGTCCCACGTGCGCTATGCAGCACCGAAATTTGGCACCATTGCGCTAAACCACGCCAGGATAGAACACCCTGAACACCCTGCCAGGGGAGCCAAGGGGCAGGGGTGGCGGAGGTCAACGGACATCCAAGTTGACGGGAGCTTCTAGACGGTCCGGGGAGGGTTGCAAACGGAGACGTCGAAAAAAGTCAAAATTCGAAAAGGGAAAGAGTTGCATCCTCCTGGAAGGCGTCGCGGGCGCCCTGTGGTGAAAGGGGGAGAAACTTGAAAGAAGCAGCCGATATCGTCCGATCCAAGCGGTCCTGTCATTGCATGCCATTGATTGGTATCGATCGCCATCCAGGGCGCTTCTTAGTTGCATGCGTATTGCCATGCCCTGTTTGAGGACATAGCACCGCCGTCATGAGGAAAATGAGTAGTCGTATCAACGGGGTTGCTACCTTAGACTGTGTTAGCAGGTGGTATCCAGCAAATGCCGTCACTGCATCCTGTTTGTATCCCAGCGGCTCGACTTCGGCCTTGAAACGACAGGGACGTCGACGGATAGATGGAAGGGAAAGGAGAGGAGGCGCGGAAAGCAGAGGCACAGACAGGGCCGGCCTGGAGGGAGGATAGGAGAGGCCAGGCAGATCAGAGCAGAGGGCGGCGGGAATGGCAGCTTCTGTGTAAAGTAGAAAACCAGCCAGCCACAAGCATTCTGTCTGTTTCTGAGCGATGGGATTGTGATCGGGATCGGGTAGGGCGAGACCTGTCTCTGGTGGACGGTGATGGGAGGGAGTGTGCGTCATCAGAAGCAGCCAAAATCTCTTCCATCTGAGACGAGGAGCTTCATGGTGGGCGCATGTCTTTGAACATACCTCTGGAGCATCCAATGCAAAACCCCCACGTCGCCATCGTGCATCTGCCCCTCGCGGTGAGCGCCCTCGAATTCGGTGTTGGTGTGGTTTGGGGCTCGGTTCGGTGGCTGCACCGGCAGTCGATGCACTGGCGCAGCATGCATTCTCAAGCGCTCTGCGTACACGCACGACAGGTGTGGATTTTGCAGTAGCGACACTCGAAGATCCACCAATGCGGACCGGAGTGGCAGAGGTTGCAAGTCCATTGGATCAGAGTGCTGTCGGACTTGATCATCTTGAAAGAATGCGCGCAGGCGCTAGCAACGGCCATGGTGAAGGAGAGTGTGTTGACGGAACTCGGTGAGGTGAGGTGGTGCAAGGTGGTACAGATGCACTGCAGACTGAGCCGAAGTGAGGTGATGTGCGGTGCTTGGGACGGCGGAGAGATTCTCAAAGTGGTGCGCTTGCTGGACGTGCGCTGATGGTAGTAGATGCCGGTGGTGCCCTGTGCGGTTGGCGAGGGGTGTCCTGTGCGGCAGGTGGGAAACGGAAGGTGGTAGGCGGCGTTGGTGTCTGGAAAGCCGTTTGCTTGGAGACGGGCAGTTCAGTTGGCCGTTGGCGGTTTTTAGCTGTCGGGGGAGCTACTTGAGCTATGGATTTCTCGATGGCAGAAGCCGATGGGAAAGCAGCAGTGCAGTGTCTCGAAAAGGTGGTGGTTTCCCCCTCGTGTTCTGGAAAGCGAGTCAGCCCCGGTCAAGCATCTCCTGATATTATAGGTGGTGCGGGTATATAAAGTTTATGGACCTTGCAAGCCCAACTTACCGAGGTTGAAAGGAAGAGCTCAAAGCACACGCGAGTGTCTGGACAGAAGGAGGTCGAGTTATTGACAGGGCCTCCAGAGGGATTGTTGCAGAGATAAAGAAAAAAAGGGAGATGGAAAAAGTGGCTAGCCGTGGATGTGGAAGCAGCAGTTCCTTTGTATGGGACGACCGGCAAAGTTTGGGTTTGGCTGCGGGAGAGGTAAGGTTTGGGTAGCTTGCGCATTGGTGAAGGTGGCATAAAACCCGAGCGTGCCTTGCGGCAAAAATTCAGACGGGCAGGAAGGTGTCAAACCGGGAAGTTACCCGTCGAACTTGCTTCATCTTCCTTGAGGTACCTTAACTCATGGAAGGTGCTGGGTATCAAGAAGGTAGAAACGGCTAAGGTAAGGTACCTACCTACCTGTCTAAGGTAGGCAGGCATGTCTGGTTTGAAGACAGGAAGGAAGGAAGGGACGTAGGTACGTGGGCAAGGAAGGCAGGAACCACGAAAACTCAGATACGGCAAGGGAAGGTGAGCCGGGCAGGGAAGGAGGGAGTTGGGTTTGGGCTGGGTAAAAACACAACACGAGAGAGTCTCTACCTTACCTACCTAAGGTGATGGAACCCAGACTCCCAGCTGTCGTCCGGTGATGTGCCCGAAAATCAGTTCAGGTCAGACCAGACCAGACCTGTTCAGGCCACTGGCAAGGTAGACAAGTGCAGGATGTAAAAGGACGGCAGTCGTGGATGCGGTGTGACGGCCGAACCAACCAAGACGCAGATTGGTATTTGGGGGGCAGCAGAGTTGAGGGAGAGCTTATGTGCGATGGGCTGAGGCAAGGTGAGGTGAGGTGTAATGACGATGTACGATGCGTGAGAGAGAGATAGAGAGATGCAATGCAACACGGACGACGCCCACACTCCCTCGGATGGTCCTGAAGCACCTTTTATGGTCTGCGAGAACAGACGGCCCTCGCTCGTCCAGACGACCAGACGAAATCTGGTTTGCAAGGTATCAACGAGTCCCCGTCCGTTGCTTCTGGGGTCTTCAAACTCTGTTCTCAAGACTCTGGGTAGTGCCGTTTGCCTTCACCCGTTGTGGAGCTCCTCGAGCGGGAACGTCGGGTTGCCGATTGTCCAGTTTCGTTGATTTAGGGCTGCAAAAGACGGGCTGTCAAACCGTGCTTGTCGACCATGAATTATGACGGGACGGACAGCTGTGTGAGGCGCCCCCGGAAGCCAAGCGTGGCTTGGTCTAACCGTGTCTCCCTCCACAAAAATATATTCGACACCAGGAAAAGATGGCCGCTCTAGATTCCACCCTAGGTTCCTGCCGTCGACGGTTGTGAGGTAGTTCAGAGGATCCGCGAGGTAATCGGCAGACGTGGTAGTACAAAAGCCAAAGGCACCCGGCGCTAATAGGAAAAAAGGTGAGCAGTGTTCAGATCGTAGCTTGTGCTCAGCGAGAGACCAGACCACCTTCTCGTCTTATCACATTGGATCTTCTCCAACTGCGCCGCGCCATAACATGCCGATATGTACCTGTCAACCGGCCCAACAAACCCGTCATCTCGGCCCTTCCACCACTTCACTCTTCCGCTCGTTTCAATGGCCCTTCTCTGGCATGGATCCCATGCCCAATGCCTATTTGACGAACCGTCCAAGCCCGGTCCGTCTTGTCTTCAGCCAATTTGCCCGCACGTTGGGTTCCTGGCGTCGTCCAAGGTACCTGGACCATTTCCATCCACATCTCCCGGCAGCCCTGAAATGGAAAGCCAACGGGATGGATGGATGGTGCCCGCTCGCTCGTGGCCACATGTCTTGGACGGCCCAGGTCAACTCCGTCGTCCACGCCTGTCTCACTTTGCCCTCCTCCTGGGTAAGGTCTTGAACCGTAATGACGAAGATTGCTCATGATGCCTGCTACACTTCATGTCCAAAAGTCTGAGCCCACTAGCCGTTTTACACCAAAACTCACCTACTTTAGGACTTAATATATAGAAAACTTAGGTAATAATAATATATAAAATTTTAGTATTTTATAAAATTTTATAAAATATATATAATACATTTTTTCTTATATTTATAGTATTTTTCTATAAAGAGCTATAAATTTCTAAATAATTATAAAGTAGATAATTCTAGAATTAGTATATGAAATTACTAGAATTTAGCGAAAATATTTCTTTTTTAACTTTAAAAACGTCCTATACTTAATAATTAATTAGTATTAAAATTTACTTACTTTTAAAAAATTCTTTAACTATTAAAATACTTAAATAGAATTTTTAATATATAGTTTTATACTTAACTTTTTAATATATTAAAGTTTATAAGTATAGTATTTTTTTTTAAAACTTTATTAAATTACTAATAACTCTCTATATATAATATATAATACTATAATAATAATATATATAGCTTTTTTAAGTATTTATTTCTAAATAAAACTAACTTTTTTATAGTTATAATATATAATAGTAGGGATATATACGTTTAAAAATAGGGCGTTAAGTGCGAAAAATCAAGTGGGCTCAGACTTTTGACCACACACTGTAGTGCTAGACGGCCGAATGCCGACGCCCCCCTTCCCATGCCATGCCGTGTTACGGCCCACAACTCGCGGTCCACACGCGGCGCGGCAGCAAGGGACCTCAATGACAAGACCGAATGATAGGGCAGATCCATAATGCTCTCCTGCATCCATGTGCTCTTGCTGGCTAACAGACCGCATCATGTTGCATGGACCCTCGTGTTGTAAGTCACCTCGCGGATGCACATCCTCTTCCGCTACGTTCTTTTGGCCCCTCACGGCAAGGGTCTGGGGTCTGCCTCCATTCTTGCACCAATGTAGATCGTGAACTTCCACGGTTTTTTCTGCTCGGCTTAACCTCGCTAGGTTTTCTGTCCAGATCCCAACACCCAGGTCGCCGGAGGTTTCTCTGCAAGCAGCAAGTGATCTGGCTTGCGGCCTCGTGGCTTTGATTGTCGTTCAGTATCGATCTACGTGAGAGCCGCAACCCAATTCTGTTTGGAAAGCCTTTTTATGACGCCGTGCCATGCACGAGCAACTTTTAATCCGGATTGCTCTCAGAGCACATCGCTATGCCCCGCTTCACCCTCACGTTATTAGGCATCTGGTTCCCCAAGACCTAGCCTGCCAGGCTATATTTGTCCATGGTTGGAGGGATTGATCCAAATAGTGTCTGTTTGACTTTGGAAGGGGAACTGATCCGGCGGCAAGGTTGCGTGGCGCGGGTCAAAGTTCTGACATGTAACAGAGGGCCCAAAAGTCCATGCTTTTTCTCCACGCTGCTGGTAGTTGTCAGTTCTTAGTAACAAACGACGGAAATAGAGTCGTAAATCGAAACGCTCCCCCTTCGCAAACTACCCGTTGATCAAAGTCTGGGGCAAGAGAACACTCAGATGCTCGAGTAATTTGTCCATGGAAGAAATCACCCATGGCCCCGCTGATGTTGGAAGTGGATCATGTACCTTACGGTACGACCGGGCCTCCGGATGTACCGTCCAAGTCATGGTGCCAAGTCTGTCCAGTTAAGTGTGTGCTGAGGGCAACGGGTACTGAGAGCGGCCGTCCACGCGGGATTCTGGAACGAACCTGGTTTTCCGCTGCGCAAGCATCAGTGTAACGGTGTAGCTTTCCGACGACGAGTCTGGGCTGTTGCGAACCTCTGATGCGGCTCATGATGCAACGTCGACAGGCCGCTACATGGGCAGAATATCTACAAAATCATTCCCTTGTCCGCTCATGCCAGCGGCCCTGGGGGTTTCGATGGAGTATGTTTCCCATCTTGCTCTCTAAGTCCGAAGCTCGCTCGTATGCGGCGATGCTGCATGTATTCGTACTTCAAGGCGCTCTGGAGAGCGCCCAAGTTGCGCAATCCATGTGCGGGGAGCACCCCAGCCAAGACCCAGAGACAGGCGTGTTGCAAGCGAAGCGACTTCCTGTATCCGTACCAGGATGCCATAGTGCTGGCATATTTTGGCAAAAAGAGAGGCAGCGGATGAAGGGCTGTACAGCCGACGATGCCTGCTTGCCGTGTCTACCCATGTTGCTCAGTTTCTTCCAGAAGACAGCACCGCTGTCAAGCGAAAATCTTGCTTCGTGCAATGCGTATCATGAGGTGGTACTTAATATCCTCAAGTTAAGGACATGGAAAAGAGGTCGTGAGCATGGCCGTTGAGTCTTGACCGCATCGAGGTAAAGCCGCAGGTTTTTGCAGGGGACACGGGGCCGCCCATCCATTGCGTGGCAGATCCTCTTTTTCTTTTTCCCTTTCCTTCCCTTTCCTACGCAACCTCCATCCCTCCCCTCCCACCTTTGCTTGACGAGCCAGACCAGATCGCGCGCATCCAGTACCCGGAGTAAGGCTTGGCGGGGAAATGATCGGGGGGCTTTGATTGGAAGTTGTCTGGTTGACGATTTGATTGACACCATATTCCAAGGTGAGCAAGTTGTCTGAGGCGACGGTGCGATAGTACAGTTGCGATGGATGCAAGTCTGCGACCT